GGGGGTTGATTGGTCACAGTTCTTCCTATGTCATGCCGTTCACCTTTCGGCATCTATGACATAACTACACAGACATAGACAATGAAAAAAGCAATAGAATGGAAAGTTGGACTCTACCCAATGATCGAGTTTAGGGTAGTCATATTAATTACATTTATCTGATTTTTTTTTTAATTTTTCAGAGAGATGATATTTCATTATTTTGGGCATGTTCTTTTTTTGAATTTTAAAAGGGGGAAAGTTGGTCAATGGGATTTTAGTATTATTGGCCAAGATACCTAAATTCTTTTTTCATATTTATGTAGGATTCACGGAAAATTTATTTTCTTTTTATAAGTGATGCCCATTTACTATGTGGGTTAATTTTTTCAAAACTGGACTGGATCAGGCGATGGGTCCATATCCATATCTATCTATATATCTATATTAGCTGGGCTATGATGCACAGTTGTAATAGTGGCAAGAGCCTTATAACAATATCAATTGGGGCAAGTGGTATCAAGTCCAATTTAAGATATATTTTCTAAAAATTTATATAACAGATTTAGCAGACCAAATTGGATCAATCAATATTTATTTGGATTAATAACCAAATATATTGGGGTGACCAATTTTTGAGTTATGTAATGATTCAATCTATTATAATCATCTTCTTGACACATCTTGTTATAGGGTGCAACTTTTGCAAGTTAGGGTTAAGATTTTGTTAAAATTTCAATGGACTCAACCCGAAACAGTGTAAACTGTTAGCTCAGGCCAACCCGACTTGCAGCCTTATCTTGTTATAGTGTTTGTTTGGCAAAGATAGCAGCACTTCAACATCAATACAAATAGTGATGTTTGGGCCCCACAATATCCCATGGAGAGAGAGAGAACTTTTATAACTAAAATATTAAAATTAAATTTTTAATTAATTATTAAACTTTGTTATTTTACTTTTATTATTTATCTAATTATATTACTTATTTTTTTTCTTGTTTTAGACATTTTTATTCATATTTTTCAATACTTAAGTTTTAACCTAAACATTAATATTTTAATACATTGATGAAAAATGAAGTACAGGCGAAGATAGTGATAGAAATAGAGAGATAAAGAGAGATAGGGAAAGGGAAAATGATGTTAAAAGTAGAAGGTTTAACCATTGAACATGCAAGATAAATCAAGATTTGTTTTAATAAGAAGGTTTAAGTGGGGGAAATCTTTTAATAAGAATGTGGGATCAAATTTATCAAACTGGGTGAATTGGTACTACCACCCCCACCCCCACCCAAATTCAACATGGCTTGTTTCCACTTTCCGGTCAATCAGCTTAACAAAGGGCCCTTCTGCCTTGTAGTCGGTGCTTGCAGCCGGTAGAGCTGCCAATGGGCTCCAAAAATCTGATCCCACATTCAATCAGATTATTGGGTTTAATGAATCACTGGATTGACGCAATAATTAGTTTAGATTATTTTAGATTTGGATGTTAAAATTTTATATTATTTAATAATTAGTTTGCATGAAAGAAACCCGGTACTGCATTTACAAACAACCACATCAATTTTGAGGGGGAATATAATAGCTTTTATCTTTTAAATTAAGTTTTTTTTTTTGTTGTATTATAGGGGAATGGGGATTAAGAGGCTGGGAGCAGACAAAGGCATACATGTGATCCATTAATCTTGGAGAACCAACAGCTACCAGTTATATATATATGCTGATTATAATACCCAGCGGCACATTGAGAACATACATGTGCCTCTGCAATATATATTGTGATTTGTGATAAACAATGGGTTTTATTTTATCATATGCCTTATTAATGTTTGGAGGAATTTCCAACAGTTTTTACAGTCTGGCATTGTCACCGGATGATGTCATTTTTCATGATTTATTAAAGATCGCCTCTCGTTTTCAAGAAAACCTTGGCTTGGCATGATCATTGCAACTCTTTATCGAAAAAAAGCAGTCTACCCAATGGGATGAAATACGCTTTTTTGTGTCTTCTGAGGTTATCCAAATATTCATGTCTCATTTGGAGTTGTGCAAGGATGTTATGTATGTCCACCGTAGGCCCAACAAATGTGGATTATGGAGAGTGGAGTCAATGAATTCTATACCATTCTTTTCGTATGGATTAGTGCAGCTGACAAGTCGGAGTGTAATATGTAGCAGATTGATGGAGCAATCTCTAGATTTTTTTTTTCTTTTTATTGTTCGGGTCATGGTTGATTTGGCCCTACGAGACATGTGGCCGCCCAATTATTGTCTGGCCATGTCAGCATAGCTCGGCCACATCAGTCTAGCTTGGTCACGTCAATATAGTTCGGTCGAGTTACGTTATTATTGTGGCCCCCCATCTTTCAACCACATCAACTACACGAGCGCAACTATAGGTAAAGAGGAATAAGGAAGACAACTCCGCTAGGRGATGGGACTATATTCCGAATACCTCGGCGGCTAACCTCATCCCGACAACCCTGGAAGCCCAATCCGACTAGAACATGAATCTTCGACTATAAAAATGTACTCCATGCTCGAGGTAAGGGACCCCCAACTTCTGAGACCTACACTACTATTTAGCTCGGACCAGATCCCTATAGCTTGGTCCGACCACCTACCACCTCCTATTGACTTGAGCATCGGAGTACTTACCCGGGGATAACTCCTCGGGCCTCTAACTACTCCTTCCTTGATCACAGGTCTTGAAGCGCGGTCTCGTCCTTGTAACTCGACCCTGCCCTACCAGCAAGAAACTGTCTGGTTGCTCTCCTCAGTTCATGCACCACTCGGCCCCGCCCCGACCTACACTATACAGAGTATAAATAGGACACATAATGTATTAAGATCACAAAGTAGCTGAAAAAAGCATGACAATTTGAAACGCAAAAACATCCCACCTAATTGGCCATGGGAATATGTGCCCGTTTGGAAGGGTTTATAGAAATCTCAAGTCACCAACATTATGGGTTATTTGGAGAGCTCAATTCTTTTGTAAAAATACGTTGAATTGATCAGCAAACTGCTGACCTAATGGTCCAACTACTGAACCGTTCAACCCTAAGAGAGAGAGAGAGAGAGAGCGTATCTCTGCAACGTTGGCGATGGTGAACAGAGCCACTGCTGCTTTCTCCATCACCATTGCTGCTGCATACTCCTCTCTTCTTCTTTCTTTCTTTTCTTTTTTTCTTCTTCTCAGCAAACACTGCTGTCTCACTCTCTCCTCTCTGAATCTCTAATAGCACATATATATTAATGATCTTCTTGCCTTAATATTCTAATGTAAGGACTGAGATATAATACATTGTATATTTTAATTCAACAGTTCAAACTGTTCGACCTCGATGATTGAACAATGACCCAAAAATCAGTAGCCAAAGCAGTTCCATTTATGGGTCAGCTTCTAAAACCTTGCAGATGTTCCCAATGCATAGGAAGGGATGGGCTGTGGACACATACGGGATGCGCTATGTGGAGAGACCAAGGTTTTTAAAACCGGACCGGACAGGAAACCATTTTGGTGTCTGGTTCCTGGGTCAGACAGTCCTACCATTCGGTCCAAATGGACAGCCCACTCTAACAGAAAATAAAAAAAAAAAAAAAAAGCAAAAGCAAAAAACGACCAAAAACCGTTGTCTAGGCCTACAGTTCGATGGTCCGACTGCCTGGGTCAACAGTTCGTTAACCAAATCAATGGCTTTTGACCAAAAACATAGGATTTATAAAACAGAATCCATCCTATGACAGAAATAAGCACTTGGGATATGCTATTCGCCAGTGCAGAACGGACTGCACAACCAATCATGGATGTGTGAACATTGGCGTATTCACTCGTGATTGGTTACATACACAATACACAGTATGGAAATCGGACAAGACCGTACTCACACTGTTCGCACAGTCCCTTGCAGTTAATATATAATATCACCAAGAAAAAAAATATCCAAGTACGGTTTTATTCCCAATGCAAAGTTGCAAGGTATTGTATAAATGGTGTAAGACTGTGAACAAGATTCAAAATATCATTATATATCGGCCCATATCAGTCAATATGTATCGTATCAAGGCCTTCCCAATATGCCTCTACAGTGGGGTGTATCAGGTCAGGCCATGGTTCAGAGGGTAATCGGGACTTAAACCAACCCCTCTAAACCTGTTTTGAAAAAAATAAATAAATAAAACATAAAAAGCAAAGCATAATACAGGCCAATACGCTCTACCGGCTTATCTGCCTGTATCCATAATTAAAACCTTGGCTGTGGGCATGGTTTTATGAGCACTAAAGCCGATCTCCACAGCATGGTAATCGATAGATCTCCCGCCTTCGAAATGAGCTAAAAAAAAGTTTTCCCATTATTATCAAGGCATGTTTTGAAAATTTAACAGTCAAGGAGTCCATCAAAGGGCAGATTTAAGATCCTAAAAGAACTTAATTGTCACAAGATATCACTTTCAGACATCCCAAAACGTTTCACTAACGGAGGTCATATTTAAGTAATTTTGTGTCAAGTGGAATCACCCAACAACATATATTTAAATACTGATAGAAACCACAGAGTGTATTCAAGTATTTATATATTTAAGTAATCCCCTTTCCCCTTCCTTCTAACTTAGTTTTGAGTAAAACATATGTACAAAGGATATATTTTGTTTTCTGCTGATGTGGTATATATTATATACACTTGAGAAAACAAAAACAAAATCACATTTTTTTGTACTCCCTTAATCGGCAACAAACTTCTAGTTCAACCACCGACTGGATATGAAGTTCATTACTGCTGGGGCCGCAGAAACCATGTGGAAGTTGGAGCATCGCCCAACTAATTGAGAATTGCGGAAATTAGTTCCTTCTTTGCTATGTGTAGTACCTTGTGTCATACAAGCAGGAATTTTAATCGGGTGGCCCACCCATAGCATTGTGAAATGTGAAGTATGAATGCTACTCATTGTACATGACCTATCTTCTCTGTAAAAGATGCTTTGTTTTGTTTCAAAAAGTAGAAACCGTGCGAAATTCATGCAGAAAAAATCAATTTTACCCAGATTGCCCACTAGAGCTTCTTTCTCCATGGCATCCATGCGCAGAATTGTGCAAATGAAATCTTATCAGATATTACATGCGGGAGGATTTTCACGTTCTTTTTACATTATCTGAACTTGTAAACAAAATGAATTGGACACTCGTAACTGACCTTGAGATATTAGGAAACATGATCCACCAGTCAACCAATTAGGGAACTATAAACATATAATGCCTTTGGTAATAAGCAAAAKACTGGAATGGCGTATTTACAGTGTAGAAGATTACCAGGTCATCTGGCTAGTCATCCTTTTGCCCTAGATTGCCTTACCGACCACATTGTCTCCAAAAAAATGCACTTTCTTGTTTTGTACCAATAATGAGACAGATTAAATTGTTCAGCAACAGCAGACAAATTGACGTTATAGTTCTGCAACTCCTGCAAAGTTCCGTTGCTTGTCACCAGGAATATAAACAGACACAAGCCTTGGGAAGGCGAGTAATTTAGTTCTGCACCTGTTTGTCCCTCATCAAGAAATCAATGCCTAGGAAGAGAAAGGGAAAAAGAATACCTCAGTTTATGTTGAAGAAAACCAACACCAAGAAGGCACTAAAAAAGGAATGCTGTAGCAAGGGGAAAAGTCAAACTTTCCGGATTTGATCATGGACTCTCAAGGCTTCAAGAATACTGTCAACCCACCTGCCATGACAGACCAAGCAACAAGGAAAGGGCGTCTGTTAAGCACACAAGCCAGGCTACAAACAGTGCAACAGTGTTCAAGTGATTGAAAGTGATGATTTATAGGAAAGAAAGATGGCTAACAATTGTTACATTCTCAATCCCACAATGATATCCATTGTTTCAGGCTTTCAGCAAGAACTATCATCATTCACAATCCCATCGAGTAGAAATAGTCTTTTTTTTTTTTTTGAAGAAAAAGTAAACTTTATTCGAAGAAAAGAAAGGTACGTGAGGAGATGTACACAGCAATTAAGCACTCAGAAAGTTACATAGGCAAAAAACTATCACTAAAAAGGGAATCCCTGTGAGCGTCAGATTTAGCTAGACTTTCGGCTTTAGAATTTAGCTCCCTTGGAATCCAGACTACATGAGCATTTAGAAAAGAGAGGATGTCTCTCGCTTCAGCCAGGTAGTGGGCTAAAGCCCAAGGCCCACTGTCAGTGTTAGAAAGCCAGTTAATGGTGTTGGCTGAATCTCCTTTAATGGTAAGGTTTAGTAAGCCCATGTCTTTTGCAATCCTGATGCCGGTTAGAGCTGCCATGACTTCTGCCTTTGTTGAGGAGGCTATCCCAATCGGCCCACTAAAAGCCCATCTGATATTGCCATTTCTGTTTTGAATTACCCCTCCAATACCCGCAGCACCTGGGTTTCCAAAAGCACTCCCGTCAAAGTACAAGATCGTCTCCCCTTCCACTTCAGATCTGAAACTGCAGGAAGTGATGAGCTGTTTATGATTAGAGTGGAGAAAATTTATGGCATTTCTTTGAAGGTCATCAAAAGTAACTCCTCTGAAGTAAATTGAGTTGGAGGTCCACAAGAAACATCTATAACAGATTATAGAAATCAGCTCCTCAAAGTTTTTTGTTCTGTTGGTAAACACCCAGTTGTTTCTCTCTTCCCAAATGCTCCAGAAGATAGCATGAGCAGCAGACAGCCATAAAGTTTTTCCTCTTTTGCTTAAACCTCTTCCGGACCATTTCCCTAAGCAATCAACCACATTTTCTGGGAATACCCAGCTATATTCAAAGAGTGATAGAAAGAGATTCCAAAATTTTCTAGTTTCCTCACAGTGAATCAGAATGTGGTTGGTAGATTCCCCAGCTTTAAGGCAGAAACAGCACACATGGGGAGATAGAGATAATACCTTCCATGTTTCTTTTTCTGAAGGAGGTCATCAGTATTGATTTTCTTTAAGCTGGCTTCCCACACAAAAAAGCATACCCTGGAAGGGATATGAGCACACCAAATTCTCTTGTAGGGGCACCGATCAGTAGCTTGATCTTCCCTAACTAAAGCCTTGAAGCAAGACTTGGTTGAAAACTTACCTGATGGGTGAAGGGTCCAAACACGGAGATCTGGGGAAATTTGGGAGAGGCATACCTCTCTCAGGGTATGCAAGAAGCTAGTGATTTCACTAAGTTCCAGGTCCCTTAAAGATCTCCTGGAATTTAGATTCCAGTTGAAGTAAGGGGGGGAGGGGGGTAAAACCTGGGATATGGAAGCTTCTTGGTTTATGGCAAGGCTGAATAGACGAGGGAAGGAGTTGGCTAAGGTAGAATTACCCCACCATAGATCAGTCCAAAACTTAATTCTATCGCCCTTTCCCACCTTATATCTGATAAAGGATATGAAAAAAGTGTGGTTTGAGATTATACCTTTCCAAGGGTGGGTGTCTTTGACCCGATTCAAGTGGAGCTTGCTATCCCAACCGTTGGCGTGCTTTCCGTATTTGCTAGTAATTACAGCAGTCCAAAGCGCATTTGGTTCGAGAGGGAATCACCACAACCATTTACTGAGAAGAACTTTCTTTCTTTCTTTCAAGTGGCCTACTCCCAATCCACCTCCCTCCTTTGGTTTGCTAACCTGAGACCACTTCACAAGGTGAGAGCCCCTTTCCCCACCTCCTTCCCAAAAGAAGTTTCTCTGAAGTTTTTCTATCTGAACTGCTATCTTGTTGGGCATGCGGAAGATAGAGAGGTAGTAGGTGGGAAGGTTTGCCAATTCTGCCCTAACTAGAGTGA